TGGACTCANATAATTAAAATGATTGATCGCTTAAAAGACAAGGCTCTAGTTTGCCTTGGTTTTAAAACCAGTAACAAAGAATACGGCAGGTTAATTGTTGAAGATGGTGCTTTAAAAGACATTGTAGAAGCAAAAGATGACGAAAGAAAGGATATGGAATTTCTTGCTAACGCCGGAACAATGGTCACCTCTGCAAAGAATCTACGTGAACTGATAAAAAAAATAGAATGTAATAAATTTACTCAGGAATATTATTTAACCAATATAGTTTCAATTGCAGTAAAAAGTGGATTGAGTGTCGATTACGTTACTATCGATGAAGAAGAGGCAATGGGTGTGAATAGTAGGCATGATCTTGCAAAAGCTGAATTTTATTTTCAGGAAAGTAGAAGAAAATTTTTTGTTGATTCTGGAGTAACATTAATGGCTCCGGACACTATTTTCTTTTCTCTCGATACGCAAATTGCTCAAGATGCAAGTGTGGATCCATACGTTATTTTTGCTCCTGGTGTTAAAGTTGAATCCGATGCAAAAATATTGTCATTCTCACATTTAGAAAACTGCTCAATTAAAAGTGGCGCCTCTGTTGGTCCATTTGCTAAAATAAGCAAAGGTACAATAATAGGGAATAATTCAATAATAGGAAATTTTGTGGAAGTAAAGGCAAGCACAATTGGTGAAAATACTAAAATAAAACACTTAAGTTACATAGGAAATACTAAAGTAGGACAGGAAAGCAATATAGGAGCTGGTACAGTTGTTTGCAACTACGATGGAAAAAAGAAACATGAGACAAGTATAGGAAACAACTGCTTTATTGGGGCTAACAGTTCATTGATTGCACCGCTTAATATTCATAATAATTCCATGGTTGCAGCAGGTAGCGTGATAGTTGATGATGTACCAGAGGAAAGCCTTGCTATTGCAAGGGAAAAGCAGGTTATTAAAGAGCAATAGCTATCGCTAACTTACCTATTGCTCTGATGGTAATTTTGTTGTCTGTTTCACAGGAAATCTACATTTATAATTTTAGGCCT